CGCAGCGCAGCGCAGCGCAGCGCAGCGCAGCGCAGCGCAGCACTGCACAGCACTGCACAGCACTGCACAGCGCAGCGCAGCGCAGCGCAGCGCAGCGCAGCGCAGCGCAGCGCAGCGCAGCGCAGCGCAGCGCAGCGCAGCGCAGCGCAGCGCAGCACTGCACAGCGCAGCGCAGCGCAGCGCAGCGCAGCGCAGCGCAGCGCAGCGCAGCGCAGCGCAGCGCAGCGCAGCACAGCACAGCACAGCACAGCACAGCGCAGCGCAGCGCAGCGCAGCGCAGCGCAGCGCAGCGCAGCGCAGCGCAGCGCAGCGCAGCACAGCACAGCGCAGCGCAGCGCAGCACAGCACAGCACAGCGCAGCGCAGCGCAGCACAGCACAGCGCAGCGCAGCGCAGCACAGCACAGCACAGCACAGCGCAGCGCAGCACAGCACAGCACAGCACAGCACAGCACAGCACAGCACAGCGCAGCACAGCACAGCACAGCGCAGCACAGCGCAGCACAGCACAGCACAGCACAGCACAGCACAGCACAGCGCAGCACAGCACAGCACAGCACAGCGCAGCGCAGCACAGCACAGCACAGCACAGCACAGCACAGCACAGCACAGCGCAGCACAGCGCAGCACAGCACAGCACAGCACAGCGCAGCGCAGCACAGCACAGCACAGCACAGCACAGCACAGCGCAGCACAGCGCAGCACAGCACAGCACAGCACAGCGCACGCTTCACACTGCGGCCTCCGGGCTGCCAGCAATCCTCGTTCACCTGCGAAAGAGGCAGAGATGTCACAGGAGCTCCTCACAGAGCTCTGGGTCGTGGCAGCAGCGCTGGGCCCTGCCCTTCCTTAGGGGTACGGCAGCACCAGGCCGAGGAGCACAGAGCACAAACCCACCGTTTGGCTGGGACAAGAAGCAGCAGCTCAAACACGACCTGGAGCAGCTCGTGGCCACCAGAACCCCTGCTGTGATCCACACAGAGCTGAACTCGTCCTAACACCGTTCTGTCCTCACAGAGCTGCTTTGGCAAAGCTTTCTGATAGGTAGGACGAGGGGAATGGCTTTAAAGTGAGCCAGGGGAGTTTAGGTTGGATATCAGGTGGTTTTCACACACAGGGTGGTGGGGCACTGTTACAGGTTGCCCGAGGAGGCTGGGGATGCCCCAGGATTCAAGGCCAGGCTGGATGTGGCTCTGGGCAGCCTGGGCTGCTGGTTGACCTGCACACAGCAGGGGTTGGAGCTGGATGAGCGCTGTGCTCCTGTGCAACCCAGGCTGTTCTACAGCTCTACAGGGGGTTTCCTCTTCCTGCACCCTTCTGCTCAGAACAGGGATCCTAAGGGCAGCACTTCAGGGCTCTGCCTTTATGGTGTCCCTGTACACAACCCCAAAGCCGCTGAGTGCAGGACTCAGAATTGAGCTCTCAGCCACGCACGCTCGCTGCTGAGCCAGCCTGGGCTCCTGCTGTCCCTCCCGAATGCCTGCACTCTGCCTGCTCTGGAGCTGCGCTCCTCCCTGAGCTCAGCACCGCACAGGATGGGCACAGCTCTGCCCCGGGACGCCACCAGACCCACAGATGCTCTGCAGCTCCGACCCCAGCACTGCAGACGGAAGGACAGCCACGCTTCTGTGTCCCGTTCAGCCAGACCATCAAACGCCTTCACAGAATCACAGAATCACAGAATCACCCGGGTCGGAAGGGACCTCAAGGATCACGCAGTTCCAACCCCCTGCCCAGCAGGGCCACCAAACATCCACATTCACATCAGGTTGCCCAGGACCCCGTCCAACCTGGCCTTGAACACGGCCAAGGACGGGGCATCCACAACCTCCCTGGGCAGCCCGTTCCAGGCCCTAACCGCTCTCCTTGGGAAGAACTTCCCCCTAACATCCAACCTCAATCTTCCCTCCCTCCACTTGGATCCATTTCCCCTCGTCCTGCTGTTGTCAGCCCTTCTGAAGAGTTGACTCCCCTCCTGGCTGTAGGTTCCCTTCAGGTATCGATAGGCTGCACTGAGGTCACCCCGCAGCTTCTCTTCTCCAGGCTGAACGAGCCCAACTCCCTCAGCCTGTCCTCATAGGGGAGGTGCTGCAGCCCCCTGCTCATCTCAGTCGCCCTCCTCTGGACCCTTTCCAACATCTCAATGTCTTTCTTGTGCTGAGGGCTCCACACCTGGGCACAGGACTCCAGATGGGGCCTCACAAGAGCCGAGTAGAGAGGGACGATCACCTCCCTGTCCCTGCTGACCACCCCTCTCCTTATGGAGCCCAGGATTCATTAATGCTCTCACTGGTAACGGCATCCCATACAGAAAGGCAGCGAGGAGAAGTTTCTGGAGCCCGCGTCACCTCAACCCAGCAGAGCCGCGAGCAGCTCAGCCCCCAGCAGCTCCGGGCTTTAGGACCCTGCAGGCGGCGCCGTGAGCCTGCGCCGTGCTGGGCTGCAGCACAACTCCAGCACAGCCCAGCAGCGCCGCAACAAAGCCGGGGCACAGCAGGCACAGCAGGCGCAGCTCTGCGCCTCCCAGCACTCGGCAGAGGCTTTCCTGCAGCCGAAAGCAAACCATGGGGGCCGCAGCCATGCGGCACGGCACCACGGAGCGCAGGACGCCGCGGCCCAGCAAGGACAGGTCAGTGCTCTCCGCTCACCCTCACGCCCCCCATCCCTGCAGCACCTGCCCGCCTCCCCCATTCAGCCCCCATTCGGCCGATGTGAGCCGTTCAGCTGCTCTGCAAGCTCTGCAACGGCCACCACTGCTCAGTGCTTCTGTTCTGTGCTGCGGTGGGACAGCACTGCTTCCAAGGGAAGCTCAGCTTCCAGGCCGGCAGCTCCTGGAGCCTCCTTTCTGCTTAGAATAGAACAGAAATAACAAACACTGAACTGCTGACAGCTGCTCCCAGTAGTTCCAAAGGAACTTCCGAGCGCCTCGTGTTCGTCTGGCAGGGATCCTCCCTGTGAAGTAGGTCACAGCCACCACCTCACGTCAGAGAGCTGAGGGGGGAGAGGAGAAAAGAGATCTGCCCAAGGTCACACGGAAAGACCTTGGCAGCATCTCCAATACAGGAGAACACGGCACTGCACCTCACCATAAGGGCAGCCCCCCTGCTGGAGGCGGCGGCTGAGGGCAGAGAGCTGCACCAGGTGCTGCTCAGAGCTGAATGCAGAGAAGTGCTGACTCACAGCTGGAGGGGCTGCCAGGGACCTCTGCAGCTCCCCCGGTCCCACCGCCGGTCCGTTCCCACACAAAGCATCCCTTTAGGTGGCTTCGGGTGCCTGCAGAAAGGAGACCCCGCAGCCCCCTGTGCTCCGTGCCCCCTCAGCACAGCGCTTCCAGCTCCCCGGCCTGCAGCCCTGCCTGCTGCTCACCAGAGCCGGGCCCCAGCCCTCCACGCATCCCCTCAGCGCCGCTCGCATCCCTCAGCCTCCCCTCCTCCACACGCACGGCCCGGGGCTCTCAGCCTGCCCCCGTCAGGAGCTGCTCCAGGCCCCGGCAGCTCCTGCCTGCCCTCAACCGGGAGCCCCGCACTGGGCGCAGTGCTCCGCATGTTTTGTCCCCGCGGCGGAGCAGAGGGGCCGGGCGGCTCCCTGCCCTGCTGGCCGCGCTCTGTGCCTGCAGCCCAGGGAACCGTGCGCCTCCTGGGCCACCGGGGTTGCTGCACTGCCGGCTCACGGTCAGCCTTTGGCCATCAAGACCCTCGGCTTCTTCTCCGCAGAGCTCCTCTCCAGCATCCCAGCCCAACCTGTGCACTGCAGCTGTTCCCCCCTCGCGTCCCCCATGCCCAGCCCTGCGCTGCCACGTTGAACCCATCAGGTTCCCCTGTGCCAGCCCTCAGCCCGCCCAGCGGTGCCGGATGGCAGCGCGGCCCTCTGGGCCATCAGCCACTGCTCCCAGCTTTGTGCCCGTGCCTGGGGGCGCCTCCATTCCTCCACGCATCCCAACGCTGAGCGCCACAACCGTTACGGTAGGAAAAGACCCCATTCGGCCCGACCACCAACCGCTCGCACATCGAAGCTCCAGGGCCGGGAGCCGCGCGGCTCCCCGGGCACCGAACGGCAGCGCCTGAGCGGGCCGGGAGCCGCCCTGACACCCACCTGATCCCAACCCGACCGCAGCCGCAACCGGGTCCCATCCCGGCCCTCCATGTCCCCCCATCGCTGTTCCCCGGTCAGAGGCCGCCCCTCCCGCTCCCATCCGCCGGTCGCTCACAGCTTTGGCTCCCGATCCCGCCGGTTCCGCCCGGCCCAGCCCGTTCCTTCAGCGGGGTTCCAGACGCGCTCGGCACAGCACGGCCCGCGCGGCGCGGCGAACCGCAGCCCTCAGCTCGGCCGGCAGAGCGGCACGGATCGCCTCGCGGCCCGGAGCCCAACCGCGCCGCCGCTCCCCGCCCGCCCCCCGCCGCCGGTACCTCAACGCCGCGCCCGGCCCCGATCCGGAGGCCCAGAGCCGCCGCCCGGCCGCGAAGCCCCTCGCGAGGACCCCTCGGGCCGCCCAGAGCCGCGCCTGACGGCCGGCACGGCCCGCAGTGCGGCCACGCGGTGCGGCACGACTGTGGGCAGCCCGGGGGGGGGAGGTGGAAGGACCCCGAGTGCTGCGCGCATGCGCAGTGAGCCGAGTGACGCCGGCCGGGCGTGGAGGGAGCGGGGCGGGACGGGCGGCGGGGCGCTGCCCCATGGGTGGGGCCGGGCGGGAGGAGGAAGCGAGCCGGGCCGGGCACAGCCGGTAAGTGGCCCCACCGGGGCCCGGCCCCGACCCCCAGCACCGGGCGGGCGGGGCTGGGTTCTCTGGCGCGTTGGTCTGGCGGAGAACGGCTTCGTGCGGGGCGCGATTCCCTGGTCCCGGAGCCGCTGGGAGAACCGCGGGGTCGTCGGGGCCAGGAAGGAGCTCTGAGGTCGCCGCGCCCGGCTGCCAGCCACCCCCGTCCGGGCCGGCCGTGACAGCGAGGGGCCGCCCGGCGGCTGGGATCGGCGCGGGGGAGCCGCGCTGACGTTCGGGGCTGCGCCGAGCCGAGCTGCCGGTCCTGCCGGCGTCCCAGCCCGCCCGGGCGCTTCGAGCGCAGCTGCCGTGCGGAGCTGCTACGGGAGCGGCACCGCGGCTCCGTGCCGGCGATGTCGCCGAGCCCGCTGGCAGCACGCGGCCGGGCGGCGGTGCTCCTAAACGGCTTCACAGACTCGCCTAAACACTCCCCGCCGCCCGGCCCTGCTGCTCAGCCGTTCGTTTCCCCGCAGCAGTCGATGCCCCGGAGGAAGGCGGTGCCGACGCTGGGCAGCCTCTGCCTGCAGAGCTTGGTGCAGCACATGCAGAGCGTGTGGGTGAAGGACTACAGCGAGAACTACCTGGATGAGTACAGCTTCCGCTTCGTCATGGGCCCCTTCAACGACCTGGGTGAGCTGCGGGGTGCACGAGGAGGAAGGCAGGCAGGCAGGCGGTGCTGCTTGCTGACCCGCATTGCCCGCAGCCGGCAGTTTGGTGCAGGACCTGATCCGGCTGCTGGGCGAGAGCCGCCGCCTGTCGCGAGCTGCGCTGCATCTGCTGCTGCTGCCTCACCTGCAGGAGCTCAGCCTGCAGCACTGCCACGGCCTGGTCAGCAACGCCATCGGGCAGCTCATCACCGTGCGCTGCAAGGTGAGCGGGGCTGGCTGTGGGCAGGGGGTGCCCGCTGTGGGGCTGCGAGCCGAGCCGGTTGGTGTTGCATGGGGCAGGGTCTGGCAGCTGCTGTGGGACATCAGGGAGGGGACGAGGGGCACTGGTCTGCACTGGTTTTCCCCTCCCAGCACCGCTTGGGCACAAGGCCGTCTGCTGTACCGGGGCCGTGGGCCGGGCGCTGCAGGGTCCCGAGCTGCCGTGGGGCTCGGGGAGCGCCGGCGACGCCGCAGGCCCTGCTGATGCAGCTTCGTCTACGGGTGCAGAGCCTGAGCGCGCTGGACCTGCACGGCTGCAGCCGGCTGTCGACCGACGTGCTGGTGGACCTGGTGGAGGAGCTGCCCCTGCTGAGCCGCCTGGGGCTGGCGGAGACGCAGGCCAACGTGCAGGTGCTGGCGGCCGTGGGCTCCTCCTGCCGCCGCCTGCGGGAGCTGGACGTGTCCCGCTGCAAGAAGGTGACGCCGCGCGCCCTGCGGCACCTGGCCTACGACCCGCTGGAACGGACCCCGGGCTGCCCGACGCTCCGCGTCCTCCTGGCGCGCGGCTTGGAGCCGGCGGGGGACGGCGCGGTGCCGGCGCTGGCCTTCGTGCTGCTGGCGCTGCCGCTCCTGGAGGTGCTGGCGCACGGCGACGCGCCGGCCGCGCTCGCCCTCCTGCACGCGGGGCGGCTCGACGACACCGGCGACGCCGACGGCTTCCCCTCGCTGCGGGAGCTGGCGCGGCGACGCGGCGGCCCTCCGCTCGCGCTGCCCCTGCGGCACCTGGAGGAGCTGACGGAGCCCGAGCTGGCGGCCGCCCGCGCCGTCTGCCCCGACGCCGAGGAGGTGACCGCGTGCCTCGGGGACGGCGAGACGGACGCCTGGGACGCGCTGCTGAGCTGGAGCCGCCTGGCCCGGCTGGGGCTGTCGTGTGCGGGGCCTCGGGGCCGGGCGCTGTGCGAGGCGCTGCCGCTGGTGCGCGGCCTGGGCTCGCGGCTGCAGAGCCTCGCGCTGCACGGCTTCCTCTTGGAGGACGAGCTCGCCCTGTGCGCGCTGCTCGGCTGCTGCCCCAACCTGCGGGACTTCAGCGCGGAGCTGCGGCCCCCGCCGCGCGGCCGCCCCGACGCCGAGCCGCCCGAGGAGCCGCCGCGGTGGGACACGGAGCTGCTGCCCCGCGATCTGCCCCGCCTGCGCCGCTTCTCCCTGGCGCTGCCCGGACCCGTCCCGGAGCCCCACGGGCTGCTGCTGCGCGCCACCTTGGCGTCGCTGCTGTGCCGCTGCCCGCGCCTGCAGAGCCTGCGCCTGCTCGGCATCGCGCTGCCGCTGGACTCCGTGTTCGAGACGGTGCTGACGGCGCCGGGGCCGCCGCTGCAGGAGCTGCAGGAGCTCTCGCTGGTCGAGAGCCGCGTGTCCGGGCGCACCGTGCGGCTGCTGCTGGCCTCCGACGGCCGCCTGCGCCGCCTGGACGTGTCCCGCTGCCGCGATGTGCACCGCCGCGACTACGACGGCTTCCTGCAGGCCGTGCGGAAGCAGCGGCTGGACCTGGACATCACCTGGGAGTAGCGCTCACACCGAGGCCTTTAATAAAGCGCTTCCGCCGCGGCCGCTCGCTCCGTCTCTGCCCCATCGCGGCTCCTTGCGGGCGGGGGTCTCGGGGCCGCCCAGCCTATGGGCTCAGCCCCGTCAGCCGCTCCGACTCCTCCCAAAGCTTGCGGGCCAGCCCGGCGTCCCGGGCGGCTGCGGAGGGCAGCGTGAGGCTGCAGTCGCTGCCGAAATACTTCCCTGAGATGCCCGACACTTCCTCCGAGACGGCGCAGTAAATGGTGCTGACGGCCCCCTGCTCCGCCGACTGCCGGGGCGAAAAGAGCTGAGCGGGGGCCCCGCCGCCCCCTGCCCACCCGGAGCCCCGTCGCCGGGGGTGGCCCCGCTCACCTTAATGAAGGGTCTGATGAGGAAGAAGAGGCCGCGCACCACCCAGCTGAAGTTGCGCATGATGCCGGTGCTCACCACGCCGGGGTTCAGGCTGTTGGCGGTCACCCCTGCCCGGCGGCACCGTCACCGTCCGGCCCACGGCGGGCAGATCCCCCCGTGCCAAGCAGGGGCCCGTGGGGCGGCCCCGGAAAGGCGGGGCAGCGGGGGAAGGGCCCCGACCCCACCGGTGATGACAGCCATCCCCGATCCCGTGTCCGCGGGGTCCCGGGGCACTGCTGAGCCCCTGCAGCCCCGCCGCGGCACCGCCGTGCAGTTGGGATGGGTGGGCAGCCCTGAGGTGCTGCTGGGCCTGAGAGCCTGCAGCCAAATGCAACAGGGGCACAGCACGGCACGGCACAGCACGGCACGGCACGGCACAGCACGGCACGGCACGGCACGGTGCAGCAGGGCAGGGCACGGCACAGCACGGCACGGCACGGCACGGCACAGCACGGCACGGTGCAGCAGGGCAGGGCACAGGAGGGCACGGAGCAGCACGGTGTGGCAATTTGCATCACCCACCCGTGCCCTGCAGGCGCTGCGCCAGCTCGGCGGTGAAGAGGATGTTCATCAGCTTGGTGCTGTTGTAGACGGGATCGAAGCCGCCGGGCCTCGCCCGCCCGGTGAGGAATCGCGCGTCCGCGGTGCCCGCGCTGTGCCGGAACGACGAGACGGTGACGACGCGGGCGGGCGCCGACGCCTTCATCAGGTCTGCGCGGAGCGGGGCATGAGGTCCTCACCCGGCACCCCCCCCCCCAGCCCGGCCGCCCCCAGCCCGCAGCCCTCGGCTCACCCAGCAGCAGGTTGGTGAGCAGGAACGGGCCCAGGTAGTTGGTGGCGAAGGTCCGCTCCAAGCCCTCGGCCGTGAGGGCGAAAGGCAGCCCTGCAAGAGGCGCGGTGCCGTGGGGCCGCGGTTTTAGCGAGGCGGGGCGGCGGCGGGCGCGGGTCGTTACCGGTGAGGCCGGCGTTGTTGACCAGCACGTCCAGGCGCTTCTCCTCCCGCAGCACCTCCGCGGCGAAGGCGCGCACCGAGGCCAGCGAGCCGCTATCGAGCAGGCGCAGCACCACGTTGGGGTTGCCGGTGGCCGCCCGAATCTCCTCCGCCGCCGCCTGGCCGCGCTCCCGGCTCCGGCACGCCAGGATGGTGCGGGCGTTCCTGCGGGCCAGGTCCATGGCCACGCACTTCCCGATCCCTGTAACGCACAGAGCGAGCGACCGCCTGCGGCCGGTGGGATCCGTGCCCCCCGGGTGGAGAAGGGCAGGGAGGGGTGGCAGCGGGGTCCCCGTGTTGGCACAGCTGGGAGCTCAGCACCAAACCGGGGGCACCACGGGAGCTGGGGGTGTCAGCGTGGGGCAGAAACGGGTGGTGAGGGGTTGAGGGAGGGCGGCTTGGGGTTGGGTGTCAGGGGAAGTTGTGTGCTGTGAGAGCGGGGAGGGGCTGAACAGCTGCAGAGAGGCTGCGATGCCCCGTCCATCCCTGGAGGGGTTGGAGGTTGGATGGGGCCCTGGGCAGCCTGGTGTAGCCTTAGATATGGAGGTTGGTGGCCCTGCGTGCAACAGGGGGTTGGAGCTCCATCATCCCTGAGGTCCCTTCCAATCCCGGCCGTTCTGTGATGCTGTGTGAGCTGCTGTGGGATTCCCAGCAGTTCTGAGCCCTCCTGGGGTGGCTGTTTGTGAAAGGTTGAGGGAACTGGGATTGTTCAGCTTGGAGCAGAGAAGGTCAGGGGAGACCTCATGGTGGCCTGCAGGACTTGAAGGGAGCGGATGAACAGGAGGGGGAAGGGCTGTTTGCGAGGGTGGATGGTGATGGGACAAGGGGAATGGTTTAAAGTGAGCCAGGGGAGGTTTGGGTTGGATGTGAGGAGGAAGGTTATTGCACAGGGCGGTGAGGCACTGGCACAGGCTGCCCAAGGAGGCTGTGGATGCCCCAGCCATGCAGGCATTGGAGGCCAGGCTGGATGTGGCTCTGGGCAGCCTGGGCTGCTGGTTGGCGACCTGCACACAGCAGGGGTTGGAGGAGATGAGAGCTGTGCTCCTTTTCAACACAGGCCATTCTGTAATCCTAGGATCCTGTCCATCCCTGGAGGTGTTGAAGGCCAGGCTGGATGGGGCCCTGGGCAGCCTGGGCTGCTGTGCAATGGGGAGGTTGGGGGCCCTGCGTTGGCGGGGGGTTGGAGCTTCGTGATCCTCGAGCTCCCTTCCAACCAGGGCCGTTCTGTGATCCTGCAGGACAGGATGGGGATGGCGCTGCTGTGGGAAGGGCCGGGCCGGCAGCTCGCTGCAGCTGCTGCCACGTGGCAGGAACCGACGGGGAGGGGATGAGCCCAGGCCACGTGCAGCCACCCTGCGCCGAGCACACGGGCACACGGCAGGGGTTGCCCAACACGCAGCCCCGCGCTGCGCCGAGGGACCTCGGCTGTGGGAGCACAGAGCCCAGCGCGAAGCTCAGGGCCGAGGCGGCGCAGGGACAGGCGGTGGCCTCGGCTGTCAGCCATCGACCCGGCAGGGCAGAGTCCAGCCGCGGGGCTGCCGCCGGGTTACCTGGTGCGCGGCGAGAAGCAGCGGCTCCGGGCGGTGGCACAGCGGGGCACGGCGTCGCCGATGGGCGGTGAGCGTGGGGCACAGCGTGGGGTGGCAGAGCGCAGCCCGGGGACGGGCAGCCACCTCTCCCGCAGCCCTCGGTGCCACCAGAGCTGGCAGCGGGAAGGCAGGGACCCACGAGCCGCCCCACGTCCCCACGCTGCCCCACGTGTCGCCCTCGTCCCACGGCGCGGCACCCGCAGCCCCTCACAGCCCCGCGGTGCCACCGAGGCCCCTCTCACCGCTGTTGGCTCCGGTGACGATGACCGTCTTGCCAGTCAGGTCGGTGGGACACCTGCGCGGGTCCCAGGCGCGTCTCCTCGTGGCCCAGAGCAGCATCCCCAGCAGCGAGGCCAGCACGGACCACAGCGGGTGGCTGCAGAAGCTCGGCAGCTCCATGGCTGCGGCTGGCGCCCAGGAGCGGCCGGGGGGCAGAGTCCAGCTGGAGGCATTGGCCCGGCGCCGCAGCTGAGCACCGTGCAGCTCCCTCCCGATTCCCCGGCAGCAGCGCACGGCAGCTCCGCCGGCTGCTGGAGCACAGAGCAGGGATGGGTGGCAGCAATTTGGCCCCGGGACGCAGGGCAGAGACGGGCAGCGGGGTGGGAGAGCAGGCGGGAGCGGGCTGAGCGCACCTTGTCCCACAGGACAGCTCAGCCACACCTGGCACTGAGGTTACAGAGGGGTCCAGAAGCCCAGGAAGGGGGCCGATAAACAGGGGTGCACACGGTCTGGGGGGCTCTGTGCAGCAACCAGCCCTCAGCAGGCCTGGCGCTGGGTCGGGGGCTGCTGCTCTCCCTGCCTCTCCATCTCTCCCTTCTCTTTTTCCCTCGCAGTTGCTGAGCGCTGCGAGGCTCCCCCAGATTGCCCTGAGAACCACAGAGTGGGGTGGATGTGGCTGTGGGAGGGCCAACCCCTGCAGCACATCTGTTCTGAGCTTCCACTGGGGCTGATGTTTGGGTGCAGACCCCGAGCGTCCCTTCACCTTAATCCTACGGGGGCTGCCGAAAGCAGGGCTTGGCAGCCAGCATCACAGCAAGGAGCCGAGGCACCGCGACGCCCCGGGACGAGGATGGGACGGGGCTGCCATCCCGGATGGAGCAGATGGGAGCTCTCACCCCACGCCGCACTCAGGCCCACAGCCAGGAGATGTTGGACTCTGCTGTATTCAAGGCGTGCCATCGCCGGTGACCTGGCTGACCGCGATGGCAGGGAAGGGCACAGTGGGGCGGAGGGGCCTCAGGTCCCTCTCGGCCTCTCCCGTCTCCTCCTCCGCATCCTCTCTGCGCACAGGGAGGCGCAGCCCGCGCCCCTCGCTGCCTCCGTGCCTGATGGTGACACCGGGAGCCAGCCGGACGGTGCCCAGGAAGGAGCCCAGCACCGGAGATCGGGAGCTGCCGGGCTGCCCGGCCCCCGCGATGGGCGGTAAGAGCCGCGGCGCCTCCACAGCCGCCAGCCCTCGGGGCGACCGCGAGGCACCCGGCCCCACATCCTGCCCAGAGGGGCCGCGAGGCTGCCGCCGGTGCCGGAGGGGACGCGACTGCCGCTCGATCTCTGCGCCCGGCTCCAACACCTCCACGAGGGGCCGGATCCGGAGCGTGGAGGGGTGCAGCAGAGCGGTGCTGCGCCTATCGCACGCCCACCCCTCACCGCGCGGAGATTTCCGTGCCCACATCGCCATCAGGTCGCTGCAGGAGCGGGGCTGTGGCACTCCCTGCCCTTCAGCTTCTGCCGCATCGCTGATCTCCGCCCACACCCATGGCCCTGGGTGTTTGATGCCAGGCAGGCGCCGGGGCCGGGCCGCGCTGCGGCTGAGCGGGGCCGGCAGCAGGGCTGGCACGGGGGGGCTGCCCGATCCCTCGGAGGGCTGGGGAGCGTCGGGCACCTCATCCTGCACCAATGGTGTTGGGGAGGGCAGTGGCACGCCGCCCCCCTCAGCCTCGGATGGGACGGCGTCCGTGTCGGTGCTGGAGACCTGGGCGGAGCACAGGGACAGCAGTGGGGCCGGGGCACAGAGCACAGCGCCCAGCCTCCCTGGGAAAGGGCAAAGCGGG